TCATTCATTGAGATTCTCCGTCTTGTCAGCTTTACGTGTTTCAAAGTTACTTAAAAATTTATATAATTGTAGTTTGTAAAATCATGGTAGATGTGTAATCATTTTAATTGTTTCAAAACAATAAACAGACCATTTTGAAGTTACGATTTTAAAATTTATACATACCAAAATGCAGAACTTTTGTAGCATCAAAACGTAAATTTTGTATTATTTTATTAAAAATTAAAAATATGCATTAAAGTTCATACATATTAGCACAATTTTTATACGAGTGCTGCCAAGAGAAAAACTCCGGGCTTTTATTTATCAGATTCAGCCCATGAAAAATCTTATCAGTGACATAATGGTATGTTTAGATTTTATCAAGGGTTGAATCCGGTTTTACTTTTTCCTCGCAACAATCATATGATCTAATATTGATTTCCTGACTGTTAATCGTTTAGATAGATTGCTATTCCCAGAATTTTTTTGAATCCAGTCTTAGATGGTATATAAGCTTAAGATCGAATATACTTCTGAAGTCCGTTTTTTAAGAATTCGAAGTAAAGGGCATTTGATGAAATTAGCGGAAGGAATCTACTCATGAAACCAGGAACCAGGAATGACGGGTTGGGGATGTGCGTGGCACCCGTACTATCAAGAAGTCGAGTAAAGGGAAAGGAGCATTAAGCCAACCCCTCGTGTATCCAGAAAGGAAAACTCCACTACAAAGCAGACCTGGTTTGGGGCGGCATTTGTACTCTTTTATCATTTACAAGATCCGGGCCTTTTAAATAAATTTTAAAAATCTTGCATATTTCTTATTTATAACAAATCTGTAAATCTGTATATATGTTGTAAAAAAAAAAAAAAACTATAATTGGTTATTATAGATTTCGTGATTTACACACAGGTATAGTACATAATGAGATATGTTAATTCTAAAGTCGTTTTAAAATGCAAGTTTTTATCTATTAACCATATGCATAACTGTTTCAACCACTAATGAGCCAAAAACGACTCTGCGCTCCAGTTTTAATAACGTTATCGACGATCCAGGGTCACAATCAATCATTTCAAACATCTTATGGGATAATTAATGATTCAAATGAGACTGTTTCATTTAAATTATGTTACTGAAGGATAAATGCTATTAATTTAATTACTAAGTGAAGTTTAATGATAATAAGATTGAGCTAGAATCATATAGAATTTTATGACGTGTAATCTGGTATATTACATGGTGTTTATTTAGAATTTCAATTTTGTTATAACTATATATATATATATTGTTCTATACCTGTATATTTTGTTATTATCATGAGATAAAGAATGGGAAGAACAAAGCATAGAAGTTAAATGCTATAGAGTGTCGCTTTTTAAAAAAGCGTTAGAATTCTGTTTCAATCAACAACTAGAATTAATAACAACTTGTAATCCAATTTACAAATAAAATAACATATAGGATGCAAGCATAATCAGTGTTGGCTTGTGACCCATTATAACTATTGGCTAATTGTGGGTTATAATCTTACCTATTATCGTTATGGTCATATAAACCAACACTAATAATAGCCGAGAATATTTGAAGATCGATTTTAGTACTGATTGTGTAAAAGATAACAAAAGAAGCAAAAGAGATTAATAGTTGTTTCGAATCTCTTATAATAAATATAGAGTATAGCCTTCGCATATCGCTAGTCGACAATAATAAGTTCATTGTTGAATGTAGTCACATTTTGCAAACTCGGTCATTATTCAGCTACAGTCAATACTGTCTAATTGCATATACTCTCTCTAAATGCATAAAAAAATTTTGGTTTTTAATTATCAACACAAAAAGGTTCTTATGACTTAAATGCATATACCGTCTATATGCATAAAAAGTTCGAGAACTGGTAAAATACTGATAGTAATCAGTACACATTCGGCTAACCTTAATTCAAATAGAATGAACTTATACTGATCTTTCATTGTGACTAGTGTATATTGTTGTTACTCTAATTCGATAATCGAATCTAAAACACCAAGCATAATACTTATATATTTTATGCAAATTTAGATAGGATAAAAGTTTTAGATAGACCCTTTTTTATTAATTAAGAACGTAACACTTCTGACAATAAAAGTGATTAACCAAAAGGTTTTGTTTTAATCCTATACAAATTTTAATTGTATGAGTTTAAACATTTAAACAAAACATTGCTCAAAAAATCTAACAGAAAAGTTTGAATATCAAAAATATTCAGCTTCTTGTATTTAAATTTAAGATTCAACCGCGGCTTGATTATGGTAGAAATTGTACCCGTCAAGAAATTACCCGGATATTATCATCACGGCAAATTTAGTATTTGGTCTCCAATTCCAAATTTATAATGCGTCTAACTCATCTTTCCCACGTGCTAACCCATCTTTCTCACTTTTGACTTATTATAATGACGCACCTTCACCCGGGAATAGTAGTTATTTCAGTCAAAAAATCATTATTGTTTTATTAGTGGTCAAAAATTTCAAAAGTTGGGGTGTTTTCGCAATTAGAGTTGTTAAAAGTCCGATCTTTTCGATTAGGACTCGGTCCCTGAGTCGAGTGACTCGACTCAGGGACCGAGTCCTAATCGAAAAGATCGGGCTTTTAACAGCTCTAATTGCGAA